GTAAAGCTTTTGAGATTTCTCATATCTGAAAATGTCTTTCTTCTCTCTTCATAATGAATTGGTCAGTTACGAATTTTCATAATGAGATTCTTTTAAAAATTATTTCACTCTGAGCCTTGAAGACACTGTTCCACTGTTTTCTAGCTTCCAGGGTTTATTGTTGAGAAGTACAGTAGTATTCTCATTCTTTATCTTTCTTTTTTTTAAATATATTTTTTATTGATAATAGTGTTATAGATAAATCCCATCCCCTCCACCCCCACCTCCCAGCCTTTACTCCCTCTGCCCAAGTCTTCACTACCCTATTGCACGTGTCATGGGCTATGTATATAAGTATATAAGTTCTTTGGTTTATTTCTTCTCACCCCCCAATTCTATCTTTCTGGCTTTTTTTCTTAAGTTTACAAAACTGTCAAATTCTCCCTTTGTAGTGAGCAGTACTATACTTTTGACAGATGCACAGAACTGCGTATCCTCCACTACAGTCACAATACATATCAGTTTGATACTTTAACCTTTTGAGTGAAATATTTTTCTTTCTGAAGCTTTTGAAATCCTTTTTGTCTTTAATCTTTGGAGGGATGCTCTGTCCTCAGGTGAGCCTTTGTGCTTACCCTGAATACAAACTGCAAACTCACATCTTTGAGCGCTGGGGAAATTTTTGTTAGATTGCTTAATTATTTCCTTCTCTATGTTCTGCTCTTGCTTTTAAGAACTCTGATTTGATCTCCTCAACTGATTCTCTAATTTTCTTTCTGCTTTATATTTCTTTGTGTTTTTGTTCTTTGAAATTTCCTGAACTTTTATTTCAATTTTGCTGATAATTTAGTGGGATTTTGGAAAAAGGGAAGATCTATAATAATAAAAGCATAATATGCTAATTAGACTGGACAGCCGAACGACCTTCCAGACAAAGCCGGGGCTGCCGCTGCAGCTGCCAGGGCCGAACCCCTTGCACGAATTTCATGCATCGGGCCTCTAGTAAACTAATGAGTTTAATGTCTTTTATTTTTAACTGACAATCCTGGCTTCTAGTTTTTTATCCTACATTAATATCTCACATTTCTCAATTCAAGCTTATTTGGTATTTGTTGCATGTGTCTGTGTATCTGTGAGTTTGTCTTCCAGAAATAGAGACTGAATTAGGCATGGGATGCTTGAGAAAAAAATTTTCTCAAGCAGTCCCCCCCCCCCCCCTATTTTTACCAGATGATTAATTGCTCTTAACTTTTAAACATTTTAGCAGTTTTGTAAATATATAGAACATAGCAAGTTACTTTTTAAGTATTGATGTTGTCATTTTTCAACAATCCCAAATGAGATTATTTTATCTCTAATTTTCTCTGCCATTGCTTTCTCTGAGTATTTTCTCTCTCTAACCTCTCATAATTATGTTACATTCAGGTAACATCTATGAGATTGCTAAGTGTGTTTTGACATAATATACATAATAATGCAGCAAATTAGATTGTTTTGAGATCTCAAAGTAATTTAGTTCTAAAGATGCTGTGCATTTTTTTTAAGTATTTGGCTTGTTGCCTTTCTCTGCTCAGCATATAAGCTCAGTTCTGCTAAAGTAATCACATTTCTTTTCCGAGAGGGTCTCAAATCTTAGAAAAGCTATAACCAGGTTCTGTGTTGTTCCTAGAGTGGAGCAGTCTTACCAGAAGGTCATGGCCCTTTGGCATCAGCTACATGTCAACACCAAAAGCCTTATCTCCTGGAACTATCTGAGGAAGGACCTCGACCTTGTGAAGACCTGGAACCTGGAAAAGGTACTTGTGAAAATGTCACTCCAGGCTCACCTCCTACTGGCAGCTTTTCTCAGAAGGAACTTCTTTTCATCACTGAGATCCTACTCACCCAATCAGAATAAAATGGAAGGAGGGAGACTGGTTCAAGTTAGGGCCTGAGGCTCTAGGAACTAGAAACAGCAGCCTGAATGGTTAAGGAAATTCCTGATGAAAATAACATATTTGGTCTTCTTGGCGGAGGGAGAGATTGCAGGCTTCTGACTGCAGGATCAGCATCTCTTTTGCACAAGTGTATGTAGCAGGGGAATATGGTGAATTAGCTGATATTCAGGGTTATGTCCAAGGGGGCACAAAGGGTGCTTCGGAGGTGCTAGTGCTGTTCTGCTTCTTAACCTAAATGCTAGTTACGTGGACAGGTTCACTTTGTGAAAAATCAGCATAATTACAATTAAGGTTTGTACATTATTTTGTATCTATGTTAAATGTAGAAGAAGAAAAAAAAAGAGAAAGTATGATGTTCCCATTCTATTGACATTTTTTCTGGCTTTTCCTGTCTAGCTTCGGTTGTCAGCACCAGAGGAGTGCCACCAAGTTATGAAGGCCCTCCAGGCCCACTACGAAGACTTTCTGCAGGATAGCCGGGACTCCGTGCTCTTCTCAGTGGCGGACCGGCTGCGTTTGGAAGAGGAAGTGGAGGCTTGTAAAACCCACTTCCAGCACCTGATGAAATCCATGGAGAATGGTGTGTGTGCCTTGGGAAGAGGAAGAGTACAGGTGGAATGAGAGTTGCAGGGTGCTGCAAGACCCTGCCTATAAACTCGAAAGTACTGTCACCACTAACACTAAAACATTGAGAGAGAAAAACTTGTAGAGATGAATTCAGATCATGGAAGACAAGGCCATATTTTAGTCTTTATTGCTAATCAACCCACCACATTTTCTTGTGGAAATAACATGTTTGGGTCCTTCAAGATAATATTTGTAATTATCTTTATATAATTGTATAATTTAGGGACTTTAGGATCAGGCATTAGGTTCCCCATTTAAGACCTTGCTTTCGTTGGTGGAATATCAGGTCTGCTGGAACCATGGGTACCCTCTTGTCTGAGGGTGAGTTTGTTTTTCCCAGATTTGCTGATCTCTACTATGGTGCGTAATGTCTTCTGTGCTTGTGCATTCACAGAGGACAAAGAGGAAACTGTAGCCAAGATGTACATTTCAGAGCTGAGGAACATCCGGCTGCGCCTGGAAGAGTGTGAACAGAGGCTAGTCAAACGAATTCAGACCCCAGCCAGCTCTGGGACTGACAGAGATGCCTGGCAGGCCAGTGCCTTAAGGATTGCAGAGCAAGAGGTAAGCCCTGAGAGAACCGGGGGGCGGGGGGTGTTAGCTGCACAGTAAATGCTTTCAGAATGAACTGGATAGCAAGAGAGTGTGGGTCCTAAGCAATAAGGCAATAGACTCATGGCCAGCCTACTTCCCGGCGGCCTGTAAGTGCCTTTGCCTGTGGAAAAGCTTGACTTCAGCCCCCACTGTATTGCTGAATGTTGATGAGTTTCCTACATGGTTGGGAAGGCAAGCAGGCTGATGAGCTGCTCTAAGCGCTGCATTTGGCTTTGTATTTAATGGCTGCTTTGTAGAGATGCTCTCTGCTCTGTCTCTTATGTATGTTACTTTCTATTACATGGTTACTGCCAGCTATGGGACTCAAAAATGTGAAGGAAAGAATCAGATTCTACTCTGGGTTTTAGTGTACTTTCTCTGTGACTGAGCAAATTAACTCTCATCTCTAGTATTCTTTCTTATAAAATGGAGATAATATGTGAGTCACAGACTTGTTTTGAAAATTAACCCTTTGCACTCCGCTGTCCCCTCTCAGGGGACATTGCAGTTTATTAGTGATTACGGGGAATTGAGTTATTTCAATGCAACTTTTTGAGACATGCATGTTTCCCTGAAGTTTTATCTTGAAATGGCACAAGAAATTAAATCAAAATATCGTAAAATTACTAAGATATATACAAGAAATGTCAGCGGGTTTTGTGTCGGATTAAACAATAAACTACATATTCCCGATGTGGGACAAAGAAAACGGGACTGCATTGTGTGTTCTAACAGGAAAACACCTGGTGGCAGGCGTCAAACCACTTATTACTGTCAAACATGCACTAATCAGCCTGCAATGCATATTGGGGAGTGTTACAAAACTTATCATACTGTACAAAATTATAAACAATAAAATATTGTTTTTTTTTGCAAATATACATTCCTCGATGTCACCCAATTCATATAAGTCCAATATCATTATAATACGTTACTTGGTTCCAAAATTATACTAAATAATACAAGGGTCTGTAAATGCACGTTTCCGCCGCAAAGTAGCGTCGAGTAGCTGGTAGCCAATGTCCAGAATGGTTTGGAGTGCAAAGGGTTAAGTAACATAGTACATATAATAAACTTTCTGGAAAAATAAAATGCTGTAAAAATGTAGGGTAGTATTCTTGAAGTAAAAGCAGCAAATACTAGTTGCTTTATTCAGTGCTCAAAGGCATGCAAAGAAAAGTTGCCTTTGGCGTATAGTGTACTTAAAAAAGAATAAAATGTTTAAGTCACAAGGAACTTCAGCATAAGAGAGGCTATAAAGCCCTAGCCAGTTTTGTTCAATGGATAGAGCAGGGGTGGGCAAACTTTTTGACTCGAGGGCCACAATGGGTTCTTAAACTGGACCGGAGGGCTGGAACAAAAGCATGGATGGAGTGTTTGTGTGAACTAATATAAATTCAAAGTAAACATCATTACATAAAAGGGTACGGTCTTTTTTCTTTTTTTTAGTTTTATTCATTTCAAACGGCCGGATCCGGCCCGAGGGCCGTAGTTTGCCCACGGCTGGGATAGAGCATCAGCCTGTAGACTGAAGGGTTCCGGGTTTGATTCTGGTCAAGGGCACATATCTGGGTTGTAGGCTCAATCCCAGGCCCTGGATGGGGCATGTGCGGGAGGCATCCAATTTCTGTGTCTCTCTCACATTGGTGTTTCTTTCTGTCTCTTCCCCTCCCTTCCACTCTTTTCTAAAAATCAATGGGGAAAAAAATATCCTCTGGTGAGTATTAACAGGAAAAAAGAGAGAGAGATTGTAAGATAGCACCTGGTGTATTTCCAACTAACATTGCTCTAGGAATTTAGAGTGTTATAGAACATTTCTACTTGGGATAGTATGAGAGAGCTCTGTGAAGAATACTGGATTTGGTGCTCACTTTGGCAGTTCATATACTAAAATTGGAAAAATACAGAAATTAGCATGGCCCCTGTACAAGAATGACACAGAAATTTGTGAAGCATTCCATATTTTTATTGCCTGTTTGCTCCAGGATCTTACTGTCACAGAATACTTACCATTTAATAAAAATCTACCATCAAAAAAAATACATTAGATTTGATCTGAGAGCTTTAAGGGAATGAAAAGAATGGCTAATGAGGAGTCTTTTTTCTTCTTACCTTTCTTAATTTTTCTTAAGCTTGAAGAGGAGGTTGAGAAGGCAGTGTAATTTTCATTGGCCTAGAGCAGTGGTTCTCAACCTTCTGGCTCTTTAAATACAGTTCCTCATGTTGTGACCCAACCATAAAATTATTTTCGTTGCTACTTCATAACTGTAATGTTGCTACTGTTATGAATCATAATGTAAATATCTGATATGCAAGGGTGGTCTTAGGTGACCCCTGTGAAAGGGTCGTTCGACCGCCAAAGGGGTCGCAACCCACAGGTTGAGAACCCCTGACCTAGAGGGATCTAATTTACCTATATGAATCATATATGAACCTGTAATTCTTATATTGAAATGTTTTACTTTTCTGTAATGATCCAAAATCTATTTGTGCCTACAAAATAAAACATTCTAGGAGATGAAGGTTAATATTCAGCTCTTCTAAAAGACCTTCCTTTTTTTTTTTTTTTACTTTTTATGAAATGTTTTCAGATATACAAAAGTATTATTTTTTTCCCATTGAATTTTAGAGAGAGGAAGAGAGACACCAAGAGAAACATCAATGTGAGAGAGAAAGAGTGAGAGAGAGAGATCTGAGAGAGGTACATCAATCCACTGCCTTCTGCACACGCCCCAACCGGGGATCAAACCTGTAACCCACACATGGGCCCTGACCAGTAATCAAACCCGCCACCCCTTGGTGTATGGGATGATGCCCAACCAGCTGAGCCACATGGGCCAGGGCTCAGATATACAGAAGTTTTTATTCTTCACCTAGATTTATCCTTCACCTAGATTCCCCAAATGTTAACTTTTTTTTACATTTGCTTTACATTTTTTCAACATTTATGTATACATACTATTTTCTTCCTTGAGAGAAACTTCCAGAAATTATGTCCTTTTACCCCTAAATACTTAAGTGTGCATTTCCAAAAACAAGATAGTCTCTTACATCACCATAGGACAATAATTAGAATTAGGAAATGAATATTGATATAAGAATTTATTAAAATTTTATCAGTTGACCTAATAACCCTTTTTGGGGTAGCATCCCAACCCACCCTATCCCCCTTGTTAAAAAAAAAAAAAAAGTAATTTTGGTACAGGATTCAATCCAGTATCACACATTGCATTTAGTTGTGTTATCTCTTTACATTTCTTAACCTGAAACCATTATTTTTTATAGTCTTTCATGAGCTTAACATTTTTGAACAGCGCAGGCCTTTTATTTTGCAAAATGTCCCTCTATTTGTGTTTATCTGAGACTTCTTCACGATTAGAAATAGGTTACACATTTTTGGCAGGAATACTACAGAAGTGTTATTGTGTCCTTGGTGAATAATACCAGGAGGCATGTGATGTTGATTTGTCCCATTACTGGTGATAATTTTTATCACTTGTTGCTATTTTCTTCTTTGTAATTACTATCAATTGGTGGGCAGATACTTTGAGCCTAGTATGTAGATATCCTATTTTACAGCAAACTTTCACCAACTAGTTTTAGCATCTGTTGTTGACTCTTGACTGAATAATTATTAGTATGATTGTTGCCAAAAAGGCATTTTCTAATTCTATCATTCCTTTTGCAATATTTAATTTCTATTCTATCAAATGGAAAGAGCTTGCCTCCCCACCTCTCTCCTTTATGTCAGTATAGACTGATGAATTCATATTTTTTTCAGTGGTTTGTAGTTTGCTACTACCTTTATTTTGATGTTCAAAATAGTCCAAATTTAGCAATTGGTAGCCCCTTCAAGCTGGTTCCTATGTCATTTTTGTGTTTTTGACAGCTTGATTGTTGCTTTAGTGGAAGGATGGAATTTTGGAGTTCTTACCCCACAATTTTTGGTGATGACACTCCTAGTTCCTATGTCATTTTAACATGTCATCATTATTCTTTAAGTGCTTTATTCTCAATAAAACAAAATATTCCAGGTTCACCTTGCCCTAGCCAGCCCCAACCCTGGGATCAGCCATTTCTCCAAGGAGTTGTGCTTCTTTTAGGAGGAGAATGTTATTTAGAAACCAAGATTTGGGTGCTGAGTGTGCTCACTGTTGTTGGGATGTCATTGCTTTAGGACTGCTCAGCAGGTAGAGCTAGAAAAGTGCATACTTACAAACACATATGCAAACACACATACAAACACACTCCTATGTTTTACACACATATTTATATATACATGTACATATCACAAAAGTATATCAATATCAGTCTGTCACACATATACACACAAAAAAACAACAACAGCATCTATGATTTTATATGTATCTTATCTCTATTCAGTTCCACGGGGCTTATTCTAATCTTCCCTTTCCCAAGACTGAAAAACCTACTTTATATTATCCTTAGCAAATTCACTTATTATTCAGTTCTTACATGTACAGAGAGTACTTTTAGAATTTCTAACTAATATTACTACAAAAAACAAACCTATTAACTGGAGTTCAACATTTACTTGTAGTTCTTTCTGTTGTTCGCCTAAAAGTATGTTAATAGTCCAGGTACATTGTTCAGAAATTACTGTGTGTTCTTCCCCCTTCACCCCCTGCAGTGCTGTTTCAGAGTTTATTCAACCACTCTCTTATAGATGGCATTTAGGTGGCTTCCAGTATTTTGCTGTTACAAACAAAGACTTCTTTCTAACTTGTTTAATCTATCTCTATCTTTGTTATATGCCTTGTTCCTGACAGCATACCCAGGACGATTTGCAACAACTGAGGTCAGACTTGGATGCTGTTTCCATGAAATGCAACAGTTTTCTTCATCAGTCCCCATCTGGTTCAAGTGTTTCAACTCTGCACTCAGAACTGAATCTGCTGGTAGAGAAAATGGACCGTGTCTATGGTCTCTCCACTGTCTATCTGAATAAGTGAGTGAGCTGAGGACTTGGGTCCAAATGGCAGTGTTTCCATTGGGATGAGAAGGGGAGGCGCCCGGAGTGTTTCAATCGAGAGAGATTGCAGATCTTGAAGATCATGTACCCATGATAAGAGACCATGGCTTTAGTTCAAGTATGGAGTGGGTACATTTGGGCCCCACTGAACAAATGCCAGTGGGGGAGTTGATTTGCAGTGTTAGGATTCTTTTGTACCCCATTTCTGTTTGATTAGATACCACTAAAAAAAAAAAGAAAGAGAAAGGAAAAGACACTAAAGAATAAAAAGAAAAAATTTAAGTAAACTAAGTACAAGTCTTTGAAGCTTTCCCTCTTACTGCCCATCTCCACCTGTGACCTTGAGGAGAAGCAGATTGTCAGTGCTTCATAGTGTAGAGTGGGTTTCTGGCCTCACCTTTTCTCCCAGAGTCTACCGTGTGTGTGTGTCCCACTGCCACCTAGAATTTTATTTTGAATTGGCTTAAATTGGCACCACATATACCATGCTCTCTTATTTTTATGAAATTGCTTTTTTACAGTTATGTTTTGGGAACCTCTCCTTAATGTTCCAGGTCTGTAGCCCATTTCATGTGTTAATGAAAGTGATTTTATCTTCACAGGCTCAAGACAATCGATGTCATAATGCGTAGCATTCAGGATGCTGAACTCTTGGTCAAAGGTTATGAGATCAAGCTGAGTCAAGAGGAAGCAGTACCAGCAGATCTCTCAGCTCTGGAGTCCCATCGGTCTACATTACGGGTTGGTTGCTCTGAGCTTCTTAGGAGGTTGACTTAATACAGGGGTAAAGCAAAAGTAGGCTTACAGTTGTATGTGAAAGCCAGAGTTTCTACTTGTATTATTATTTATTAATTGTATTATTTATTTGTATTACAACTGTAAATCTAATTTGCCCACCCCTGTATATCCAGGGCTTTGAGGTAGCAGAGAAATACAGTTTTGGATAGTATGACACTGACTTTAAGTTTGTATTTGAACTAGGAAGAATATCATATTTAATATATTTTAATATGTATTCAAAGAATAGATTGATAAGAAAACCAAGAGTCAGACTGGCTAAATGGCTTACGTTGGTTTCATAGCTTATAAGTGATAGAGCCAGGTTCCAAACACACGTTCTCTGCACATTTTTCTCTACTGTACTGCCTGCCCTTGGCTGCCCAGTGTGCTTGAGGACATGGAGGCATTTCTGGCACAGACATTATGGGCTCTAGCTTCTGAATCACAGATAGAATGTGACAACATGTCCTTGTTGTCTACCTTAGTCTGAGCCTTTCTTACCTCTTAGCATGGAATATTTTTAATCTTGTGTTGCTGTGCTTGTTTTGAATAGCACTGGCTCGGTGATGTCAAGGACAAGAATTCAGTGTTTTCAGTCCTGGATGAGGAAATTGCCAAGGCCAAGGTGGTGGCAGAGCAGCTGAATCGTCTGACCCCAGAGCGAAACCTGGATTTGGAGCGCTATCAGGAAAAAGGCTCCCAGCTGCAGGAACGTTGGCACCGGGTCATTGCCCAGCTTGAGACCCGGTGAGTGGTAGCCCTACCCTCTTCTTCTGTTAGTGGTCAGGGACTAGGTTTTAAACAAAACTAGAGTTACATCTGTGTATGCTTGTGTAAAGGCGGGATTCGATAGGGAGAGGTAGACGTGAAATGATGTTATGAATTCTGAACAAGATGCGTGACAGGAAGTTGGGACCACCAATCCCAAAGTAGGCTTGAGTCTTGCCTTTGAGTCGGCAGTGATGGTCCTAGTGCCTCTCCTGTGTCCAGGTCGCACCTGCTTAAGTCATGATGACAATAGAATGGGAAGGGGACTTGGTGGTCTTCTCTCAAGGACAGCACCTGGGTTCAGGCGTCACTCCACTAGCTTTGAATCTAATATGAACCATTTTCACAGTGGGCCTTTGCAGAATTTCTTTCATTTGCTAATTCATTGGTTTTATCCCTATAACTTGAGATCCTACGTCCGATGAC